CAACGGCCTGGGTCAGGCGCACCCTAGTCCTCAAGCTGACATCTCTGCTCTTCAACACTTTAAAAAAGTTCCTGTGCAGCAGATTTGCCCAATGCGATACCTTACTTAGAAGCCCGGAATACCGAGGCTGGAAGGGCCCGGAGAGACCACGCCACCTTATCTTGTCTCAGGCAGAAATGTCTTTCCCTACAGATCAATCTCCTAAAGGACCTGGACTGACCTTGGTCACGCAGCCTCCATGCTGTTGGGGTGATGCCCCAGTTTTCAGTGAGTTCTCAGTATAGGGTTTCCAAGGAGTGGCTGATGGGTTTGAACCATCAATCTCATGGTTAGCAGTCCAGTGCTTATCCTACAGCACCATACCAGGAAGCCTGTGGAACTGGTAGGCTTCCACAGCAAAGCACAGGTCTACAACCCTCCAGCTTCTGCTTTTGAACGGTTTTCATTACTTCCTAGACTCATTCCTGACTCGCTCGCCCAGTCCTCTATGCCTTCTCTTGTAGAAATAAACTAGATCCTTCTCGACTTCTCCATTGGCCTCCTATCCTTATCTGGGTCTCCCAGTTTCCTTTTTGGCAGAAGTGAAGGCTATGCCTACTTAGCAATGCTTCCCTCCCTCCCTGACCCCCCACTTGGCGACTCCCTGGGTCTCTCTTCAGCTCTTTTCCCTCCAGCGTGGCCCTTCCTTACAGCCCAGCCCTTGGCTTCCTCTCTCTCCTCTGTCAGAACTCAAGACCCAGCTGACCAGCAGTCTCATGAGCTGACCTGAAAGACCCACAGCCAACCCAATTATTTTCCCTCCTTCCACCCTAAGAACTGTGTGGAGCAAGGTAGATCTCCGGGGTCTGGAAGACCCCGGGAGTCCCAAGACTCTGGGACAGACTGGTCTCTGCTTTGCCTTTTTTTTTTTCCCTTTGGTCTCTTTTGTTCCGAGGCCAACTCGTTTCCACGGCACAGAGGCCTGAGGAAGACCACAGCACCCCCACGTGTGGGAAGGGAGCTGTCAGCCTCAGTCAGGAAAGCTCACCCTGAGGAAGCCTGGAGCTGTAAACAGCCTGGTAGCCACTGGAGGTCAGGGGAGTGTAGGGAGAGCAAGGGGAAGCAACTGCTTTAGAACGAGAGAGTTGTCTATTCTCATTTATACACCAAGATGAGAGTCCAAAGTCAGTCACTTCATCTCCTGGTTTCCTTCTTGATCTGTGTGCAGGTCAAATGCTACTGGCTGGACCGTTCCTGATACAAGGTTTCCTGTTCCTCTATGACCTCGTCACGTGGAGGGGGAAGACCCAAGGCATGGTGACAACGCTAATACTGAGATCACCAACAGTTCACTGTGGAACAGCACTTAGCCCAGGGGGTAATAGTAGATTTGTGAGTTTATTTGGCCACTTAGCCACATATTCTGTGAAGTCTGCGTTCTTCCGGCTCGCCCAATGCCCATGGTTAGATGCTCGAAAGGGAGTGTTCATTTATGCGTCCAGCATTTTGTGAGCCCAAGGCATGGGCTGAAAGCTTTTGTGTACACTATTTCATTCAATCCTCACAATGACCCTAAGAATATGATTGTCCACTCCCATTTTAACCAGTAACCAACTGTCATGGAGTCTGTCGTGACTCATGGCGCCCCTGTGTGTGTCAGA